GTGCAACAGGGCATAGCTGAAAACGCCAGTTTTCAAACTACACCTAAATTACCCAAGTCCTAGTTAAAACACACTTAAAATGCACAGCCCCAGAGGCAGATCAGCTGCAGGCACGGAGCCCGACAGCCCCGGGAGCGCCCCCACCCCGGCGGTACCTGCCCGTGCCCCAAAAACCTGCCTTGGACACGTAGTACTTGTTGACACCCGAGATCCGCCGATCCCTTTCCATCAGGGTCCACTGGAAGGGGAAGCGGGCGATCCTCTTCTCCTGTGGGCACAGCGATGCCTGTTACGGCCCCGGGCAGGGCCCCCGGCGGGTTCGCCGGTATGGGGTCCCGAGGGATGGGGGAAAGGGGAGCCCCGGGAAGGAAGGAAGGAAGGAAGGGATCCCACAGGGATGCAGGGGGCTGAGGGGTAAGGGCGGTCCCGGAGGGAAGCGGAGCCCCGGGGCCGCGGGACCCGCCTCGCGCTGACCTTGCCGCCGTTGTTCAAGCGGTTTATGAACATGGTGGAGAAGCCGGGGATGCTGAGGCAGACGCCCATGATGGCCATGCCGGGCAAGATCTCGTACCACATCCTGCCGGTGCCGCTCCCGGTCCCGGTGCCGGTCCCGCTGCGCCGCTCCCGGGGCACTCCCGGCCTGCCCCGCGCCCTTCCCGGCCTGCCCCGCGCCCCTCAGCCCGGTGGGCTCGGAGGGGCGGCGGGAGCGACAGCGCTTGCGGGGGACCGGCCCTCGGCAAGGAACGAGGCCGAGGCCGAGGCCGTACCCGCGCCTCAGCCCGCCTGATCCCAATCCCGATCCCGATCCTTATCCCAATCCCGCACCCGGTGCCGGTCGCTGACACCGCCGGGACTGGCGGTGCCGGGCGCGGTGCACGCCGGGAGTTGTAGTCCGGCGGAGCCCTCGGCCCGTTTCAGGCGTAGTCTCGCGAGAGGCGGCGGCCAATGGGCGCGCGGGGGCGCGCGGCGCTGCCCTGGCCCGGGATCGGGATCCGGAGCGGGGCCGGGATGAAGGAGGACAAGGAGAACGCCAGGCCCAAGGAGCGGCGCGGGGCCGCCGCCGGGCCGGGGGCTGTGCTGGGCGCGGGGCCGGGCCCTGCCGCCGGCACGGAGGGCAGGGCCGGCGCGGCCGAGATCGACCGCCTGGAGCGGCCCAAGGACAAGAAGGAGACGCTCAGCAAGGTGGGGCCCGCGCGGCGCTCGGGAACGGGCATCCCCAAGGGAACGGGCACCCCCAAGGGAACGGGGCATCCCCCGGGAACGGGGCACCCCCCGGGAACGGGCACCCCCAAGGGAACGGGCACCCCCAAGGGAACGGGCACCCCCAGGGAACGGGCAC